TAGACCACGGCCCTGCCCAACACAAGTTATAAATTCGGGCACCGCCGGGAATCGAACCCGAGACCCCAGGATTACAAGGCCAGCGTTCTAACCGCTAGGGGGTACGGTGGGGGAGAGGGGGGAGAGGTAAACGAAGGGATAGAGCTGAGACCAGAAGATATTTTAGTATGACGTAACAATACAAACAAATGTTTCCCCCGCAACGCTTGGGCCATTGTTGTGATGTTTCCATAGATATGTGAGTTTGAACTAAATATGAAAGTAAACATGGCTGTGTTCAAGCCATATTTTCAGTGCGTTCTGCGTTGTCTTATGACGGCGGAGTCTGACAGTTGTAAATCTCAGACCGTAAGGAGACACACAAGTTGGTGGGGAACATTCTTCTGGAAAAGGGTAAGTAGCTAGCTTGCTTCGTGCAACATTTTCTCGTGGCGTTCCTGATTTTACGAATTGATAAACACTATCTTACATAACTTCCATTTTTAAGGGTACCCGGAATGTGCTATCCCTAAAATGCTAACATTTTTGATTTTTCTTGATAATTTCTCAGGGTTTATTAAAATTTATACACTTATTACTTATTTAAAATGGAGAGTTTTAGAAAATGTCAGTTTTAAAATGTATAGAACACATTTATATAATACATATCCGAAAGTTAAAAATCTTTAGAGGTTAGGAAAACTGAAAAATGTAAATTCCAGTATAACAAACGGGTTTCGAGGTCTGAAATTGTATTTATGCACCCCTGGTCCACACGAGAGGCCACCAATTCATCTCATCTACCCAGACGACAGACGGGAGACATGTAGGCATAAGCCACGGTACAGTTATTACTCTGATATCCCGAAAAAATTATAAATTTATAGAAACTTTATTTTTAATATTTAATAGTAATACTTTTCTAATTTAATTTAAATATGCAGTATTTGTATATTACAACACACAGAAGGCATATAAAAATGAATTTAAACCAAATGTAATTTATTTTGTTAGAAACATTTGGATTCAAGTTTATTTCAAGGAAAACTTGTTTTGAATCAACGTTTAGTGAATTAAAATGTTAAAAAAAGACAAAGATCATTTCTAGTGATAAGCAAGGGCCAATTAAGAAACAAAAGAATACTGTTCGGGCTAAAATCGTGGCCGATAAAACCAAAGTAAATTTTTTTCAACTAAATTCTACATTATCCTTTCCAGCAAACAAACGTTACTGGTATTAATGCAATGGACGATTTTTAATACAACATTTTGTCTTAAAACTTTTATTTCAAAGAATTAAGAATATCAGTAAGAAGGTTAGGACTGTTTAGTTGTATTATTTAATTATAAAGTGCAGCCGCTTTGATGAAAATAAACATTCTTAACCCCACCTACTTTGAAATAATACGTATTCTTCGCTTCAATCGTACTAGGACACATATTTCTTTAAGCAACCACTGTTTAAGCCATGACAAACAATGGCTAGAAATGTGACCACGTTATCTACACTGAGTAGGTAATATGACCAAAAACATATCTTTCAGAAAATAATTATTTTCTGGTGCTTATGATGAAAGACTAAAAGATAATAATTATGTTTCAATATAGCTAATGTGCTCTTTACTGAAAGGCACAAAAGCTGACGGGAGATCGTGAGAAAGTGAGAGCGATATACTTTGTAACGTTGAAGAACTTTTGCTCTAAGTTTAAGGTTTACATGCGTCATGTTTGTGTTTTTGATTAAAATATATAATATAATAAAATTCAGGTCAATACACAAAACTATATTTGGATGTTAAAATTTAAAATTTAAATGTTAAAATTTAAAATTTTAAATTTGCGCCATTCATCACTATAAGGATGTTACATTAGAGCGCTTTCATTCATTTCACAACATGTTTCGATGTAATACATCATCTTCAGGTGTTGTTTTTTAAAACTATTTTATATTATAATGCATGCCTTTCAATATATTCATTATTGTAACATGTGTTCCGCTGATCCTCCCGTTTTACGCATCTTATGTTTGTTTTGATTATTCTGTAAATAAATGTGATAAAATTTGGGAGTTATTCATTTTATATGCAAATAAGTTTTGGAATATGAACTATATTGTAAATTTTAACATCCAAATATAGTTTTGTGTATTGACCTGAATTTTATTATATTATATATTTTGCTCTAAGATCGGTGAAACAAGGATATAGATTACTAAGCTCATACAAAAGTACGGAAGTGTTCTCGATATAAATACCTCAATCATCGTAATCGCTAGATTCGGATTCTTTTGTAATCTAAACCCTTGAATTTTTTTTATAAAAGACCCAATAGTCTCTGTGTCTAGATTTCTCATTGGAAATCCCGTCTCGTGTTTTCCGTGTTTGTGATTCTGCTGGTGTTTGCACAAGGTTTCGTCTTTCATCGAAACTGAACCGATGTCTGCACTGGAGTAACGGATTCGGGAGACAAGTGTAATAATCTGTTTTAACTCGATGTGGCCTTGGATTCTGAGCGAAACGTTTAACTTACTCTGTCGAATGAATCCCGTCACTGCTGGAACCAGCAATGACAAAACAAGGCGTGCGTCATTGGTTAGTCTGCCATCTGCCAACATATTGGTTAGGTTTGCTTCTGGTTTACACAGTTATCGTCCAAGTAATAAACGCTATCCTTGTATTTTGTATCATTACGTCTAATTGCGTGCGTTTTTCAAGGGGAGATTTTGTCTCCTTAACATTTATTTTCACGGTAAGATTTCAGGTCTTCACGGGGGGAGTATGAAGATGTTTCCTGGGATGTTGCGCCGTGTAGTCTGGTAATTATTGTAACCGACGTTTCATAGGTGCGTACTGCTTCACGCCTTGTTAATGGAGGTTGTAAATAATTCTGAAACGTCCGTAAAGTACCAGAATAAGAATAGTATTTAAGAAAACAATGTTATTCAATTGTTGGGACGGTTCCAAGTCCGTTTTATGCGTTCTTTGCCCGAAATGCTTAGCGAGAACCCGTTTGTGATGGTTACTCGTGTCTGTCAACGCCAGTCCAATCTATTCAGCTCGAGAACGAAAGAAATGATTTTGATGAAATTTGATGTGGAGGTTACGTTATTCTTCACTGTCTCAAAAATTGTACTTCTGGATGCCCTGGGAGTGGTGATAACA